CAATCTCGGAGGCAACGCCCAGACGCGCAAGCGGAAGGAAGGGGGAGCGCAACACTCGCGGTCGCGGGGGGAGAGAGAGAGAGAGACAAGGGGGGCGGTCATACACACGCCGACCGCACGAGCTAGCGAGCGAGCGAGATCCCCCTCTCCCGCTGCCGGATCCGATCTCACCTGACCTCGTCGCCGCCTGCCGTGGGAGGGAGAAGAGGAAGAGGAGCAGGCGGCGGAGATGGCACCGGTGTCGGCGCTCGCCAAGTACAAGCTCGTCTTCCTGGGGGACCAGTCCGTCGGCAAGACCAGCATCATCACCCGCTTCATGTACGACAAGTTCGACAACACCTACCAGGTACGGCGGCCCGCACGCTTCCTTCCCCTGCTCCAATCTCGATCGATCCCTCGCCTGCTATTCGTGTCATCTCGCCGCGTCGGGGCTGGGTTAGTGGGTTGGATCCAATTGGGCGGGCCAGATCCAGCGCAGGAGGATCGGAGGTCGATGTGATCCGGGGCTGGGTGATCTATCCTGCGCCCGATTGGATCGGGGTGGTTCCGGTAGTTAGGCGTAAAAAACATAACTCCGCATCTATCCTTGTTTTTATCTGGGTCTGTGATGATGCTGTTTCATCAAACAATGGAATGCTCATGACGCATGATCAAGGAGGATGAATTGCCTTATTTGTGCCTCTACTATCGTTGCAATTACATGTGAGGCGAATTTTTTTTTGCACTGTTAGCACTGTTCTTAAGAGATGGTTGTATGATTGATTGCCTGTTTGGATCACTTACGTGTGAGGCTCACCGTTATAATCTGGGCTTGCCTGACCCAGTGGTGATGCTATATTATTGGTAGGATTGCCTGATTGGATCACAGGTCCTTGACATTGTTCTCTGGGATGCCCAAGCCAAAATCTGTGTATTGGGACAGAGATTGTGATGTGAATAGCCTGCCACCGAATTCTTGCCCTTGAAATGTAAGGAAGCCAAAGTATTTTTCTGTATTACTAGGATGCTACTTTGACAAGGGACTTCTGTCCTATCTATGGGCTTGGCACTTTACAGTAAGCACTAGCATGGCAACCTAACTTTTTTTAGGCACTATTTATGATTTGGAAATCTTAAGAAATGTAAGTCACAATTGATTTTGACTGCCTCTTTGCTTTTATTTTATGGTGTACTGTATTGGTTGTTGGAGTGATTATTTTGAGCACTCAGCAGACTATTACTACTATAGTACTATGTTGAGTTAATTCCTGTAATTTTGGCTTGTTGTACAGTAATGCTGGTTAGTCTATCCAGGTTTGCTCAAAGTTGTTTTCTCTGGTATGCAGGCTACAATTGGTATTGATTTCCTGTCAAAGACAATGTACCTTGAAGATAGAACTGTGAGACTCCAACTCTGGTATGGTGACTACTACTGTATCTGTTAGCCTGTATGCCCCCTTGAGATCTACAGACTGTTGACCTTATGCATGTTTTGTTTTCTTTGTAGGGATACAGCTGGTCAGGAAAGGTTCAGGAGTTTAATTCCAAGCTATATCAGAGACTCTTCAGTTGCTGTCATTGTATTCGATGTTGCAAGTAATCTCTCTCTCTCTCTCTCTCTCACACACACACACACTTTAGAAAAAAATGATATGAGGTGCACATCAGTAGCAACAATGACTAGGAACTTTTATCTTTTAAGACATAAACGTTTACTAGTTTGTTCTTACCTTTATTTGTTTCATGGTGTAGGCAGGCAGTCCTTCTTAAATACATCTAAGTGGATAGAGGAAGTTCGCACTGAGAGGGGCAGTGATGTTATCATTGTGCTTGTTGGGAACAAAACTGACCTTGTTGACAAGAGGTTGGTGGTGTTACACTTGCCTGATTTCTGTAGTTTTGTTGGTTGCTCTATGTATCTTTTGTTTGGCTTTAAATTCTTTGGTCTCTCTGATGTCAAATATAATTCTCCAGATGTTTTTCTGTGTCATCTATTATTGTTCTAAAATTGGCAGTTTAGTTCTCCCATTTATTTGCCTTGTCGTTTGATACTGACAACAGAATTCATACCAAGCAAAAAATAACTTCAAAATATTTGGATTGAATTTCCTGAAGGGCGGGCCTGGTGCAAGCGGTAGAGTCTTACCGCCTGTGACCGGAAGGTCCCGGGTTCGAGTCACGGTCTCCTCGCATTGCATAGGCGAGGGTAAGGCTTGCCACTGGCACCCTTCCCCAGACACCGCACAGAGCGGGAGCTCTTTGCACTGGGTACGCCCTTTTTATTTGGATTGAATTTCCTAGGAAATTTGAGGTGGATATCACCCTTAACTTTGTGATTCAGAAGAATCCCATGTGCTGGTTGCTGAGTATATCAAGCGGGACCTGGGTCCAGGGCTCAATCTCAGTGAGGCATTTAGAGCATTCTTCTGAAGCATAGATCTTGGGTTGGCATTTAGCAAAAAGCTGGAAGCTTTGCTTTCTTTAATCCTAGATTTACTTAGCATATGCTATATATCTTTACTCATTGTGTATGAGCGTTTATTTTTTTGTTTGTTTTTGTCACTAGAACTGGAATCAGACATCTATTGGTATACCATTGCTTTTATGACTTTCTAGGTCTTCTGTATTTAAGTGATTATTTCCAGCTTAGCTAAATTAACTAAATTACCACTTGTCTTGTAGAATCAGTCGTCATTGAGGTATTTATGTAATTTGAAGAAGTATGTCACTCTTATATTCTTGCTGAAATTCTGTTGCATCTCATGGAACAGACAAGTCTCGATAGAGGAAGGGGAAGGCAAGGCGAAGGACCTTGGTGTCATGTTTATTGAAACCAGTGCTAAAGCTGGGTTTAACATTAAGGTATGCTTCAGAAATATAAACTGCTTAGATGTCTTATTTCATAAGTTGGGTTCATATTGATAACATGCTTCTAGAGCATGCGATTTTTTTCTCAAAAGTTCAGAGTAGTGTGTTTTTCTTTGGAAAGGCCTTCATTTTTCTGCCTGTCTGTATGTGTTTATCACTTTATATGTGAACAGACTTGTTTGTTTTGCACTGACCACCACAAACTTGTGAGCAGGCGCTGTTCCGTAAAATTGCTGCTGCACTTCCTGGAATGGAGACGCTCTCATCAGCGAAGCAGGAAGACATGGTTGATGTGAACTTGAGGTCCGGCAATGCAAACTCGTCCCAGTCTCAGGCTCAGGCTGGGGGATGCAGTTGTTAGTTGCAGTCTCTGACACTTGCTGCTCATGATCTCTGAGACCCTGAGCATCAGAACGTGTTATCACTGATGCTTCTCTCGGGAAGGAGAGTTGATTGCCTCTCAGCCAGTGAACACACCATAGTCTTTACCCGGTGAATGGACCATTTGCATTGGAACGATACGTTTTATGAGTTCTCTAGTGTTATTTCCTCAGTGGCCTAAGCTAGCAACATTGTATAGTTGGGTTGGCACTGCAAACTTCTACCATTCGAGTTGGGTATTAGAGCTAGTTATTGGTTCATGTTGAACTTATATATTTTCCATCTTGTTGCAGTTACCTTGAGTCATGCTTGCTATGTGTACCAAACATGTATTAGAATTTGGAATTTTTGTAAGCTAAAATAAGGCAAGCACGGCAATAGCCCCACATGATATCCTATCGTTCAAACCATGATATCCTAAATTTATATCGTTCAAACCTTTTGATTTTTAATAACACGTGAATAATTAATTGAGTTGGGGCAGTGGAGTAAAAAAGGCCCCATGCGTCGTAACGTTTTGCTCTTTTTATGCAGTAACGTTTTGCTTTCCTAATAACACGTGAATTGTTAATTGAGTTGGGGGAGTGGAGTAAAACGCCCGCTGTGTTAGTTCTCTGTGCCGTCATTGCGGAGCTTGTAGGGTTTGATTGGTTGCATCTCTATCAAGGACACTTTTGGTACAAAGTCTTAGGCCTGTTCGTTTCGCTGAAATTTGGCTGTTGCTGCCACTGATTTCTTGTAAAAAAAGGGCGTACCTAGTGCAGAGAGCTTCCGCTCTGTACGGCGTCTGAGGAAGGGTGTCCGTGGCCAGCGTTACCCTCGCCTGTGCAATGCGAGGAGACCGCGACTCGAAACCGAGACCTTCCGGTCACAGGCGGTAAGACTCTACCGCTTGCATCAGGCCCGCCCTTCTAAAAACATTATTCTTTCGCTAAAAAGTACTGCTGAAGTAGTGCTAAAAACATGACGTTAGGTGTACGGGTACGCTCAGTTTGGTTGTATTTGCTTATGCAGTGTCCGCACCTGCTCTGCAGCCTTGAGAAGGTTGGGCTCCTTCCTAGTAGAGCTCGACGAAAAAACTCGTGGATCGATAGCGTGCTCGGCTCGGTTCGTTTACTTTTTTTTTAATGAGTCAAGCTAGCATTTGCTCGAGCTAAACGAGCCAAATACCTTGTAGTTTGACAACCTAACAGTAACTAGTATAGTGCCCGTGTTAACGCAACGGCGATATTTCAGAGATGCACATCAAAACAACCAGATGTTTCTCAAAACTTTGTGATAGATCACCCTTAAGAGACTTAAAGGAGAGATCTCTGCATTACATTAGATAGAAAAATAAAGATACTCAAAACACAAGAAACAACAAAAAATGAGGGATTTTAAAACACAAAATTAAGACCCATCCGACGATGCCCACAAAGCACTTATCCACAAAGCACTTATCGAAGATGATATGCAATCATGCATTCATTGTTCAACAGCAAATTTAAAAGAAGCCAAATGAAAGGTCATGAAAAATAAATGTAGAATAGAAACACCAGGACATACATAGATGACCAGTTTCCAGAAAGGTCACACTGCAAATCATGGACATAATAATTTTGTACCAAGTTATGCATGATTTGATCTCATCAGTGAAATTAATAACAGCACGAAGGCATTCTTAGCGACATCTATGAATTTTATTAGCTTTTCAAAATGTTGCACTACTGCACTAAAAGAACCTGTACTCTAATAGAGGAAAAAATGGAACCTAATTACATATCAGTAATTTATCTTCTTGCAGCAGCACCTTCCTCCTTCCAGTCTCCAATTGCATCATTGGCCTACAAACGCACAAGGAAATGAAATCTTTTAACATACAAGGCAAGAGCACACAAATTTGAAACAATTAATAGATCTTTGCATCATTTGGCACAGCTAGCCTGAAATGGTAAACTCCTTAAGTTGAAGCAGGTCCATCAAGAACGTAGTGAGAAGATGATGCCACTTCAACAATAACCCAATTGAGAGAAGCCAATATACATGTCACAAATGTACCCTGAAAACTGCAGGGATGTAGAAGGATCCGCTACGAGAAGAGACGGTCTGATCATAGTACTCCAACACATCGGCCTGCATAGCTAAAACGATCATCACATTATATGTTGAAAAACGCGAGCAACTGTAGAGTTTCATCAGCATAGGTCACAGCTGATGAACTCCTTAGAAAGTTGAAGCCTTTGGTTTGTTTGGTATCTGGTATGCTAACCTTCCCAATGAATTCCAGGCAGATGGCGCGCTTCCAACACACGACATTGACAGGACTGTATGCATAGTACAGTTTTAGTTCAGCACACTTGACTTGAGGATCAAATCCAGAAAGTGCATATGGTAACAGAAGTGCCTTTCAGAAATAGGAACAGACCACCAGTTTAAGAACTGTAACTCTGCAAGTATAATGTTAAATTAACCACGGATGTTGCTACTTGATGCATGTTATGTGCAAAACATTCCACAATTGAATCTCTACATATAATAAGTGAAGAGTATTTTGAATGATTTAAGCCTGTTTCTTTGTGTTTATTTTCTACCAGTAAAGCTTGAACCTCACCACATGCATGGTGGCTGCCAGCGCCACCAGGATCACTTTGCCTAAAGATTGCAACTTTGGTCCACCAGAAAGGCAGCAAAGTCCCTAAAATAGATAACCTGAGGTCAGAATAAGTTGACCCTTAATCACATACTCTCGCAATGCATGATAAACCTAACTGAGGAAATGGAATTCAAAGCCAACCAGCGACTCAATACCAAACCACATTTACTGACCAAGGAGTGCTTGGGGATGGCCGCACGGATCTCCGCCAACCCGAACGGCAGCGGCGCACCCGGGTAGAACTCCCCGCCCGCGGCGCCGTTGGCCGCCATGTCCTCCTCCCGAGCGGGGAGCGCCTGTCTTCGGTCGCGCGCAGCAGGTCCCAGCGCTCCCGGCACAGCGCGGCCGCCGGGCACACGTACGTCGCGTCCAGCCGCTCCTCGCGTCCTGGTGGCCGGCGGCCTCGCCTGGTGGCCGGTGCCCGGCGTGGCCTGGTGGCCGGCGCCCAGTCGCCTGCCCTATCACGCGCGTTTGTGGGAGAGATACCCAAAGCATTAAAGCAAGGAAAGAAGCTCTTGAATCATTTAATGGACATTCCAACAGAAAGTTTGCCTGTGCCACTTTATTTCAGCGAGAGAACTACTTGAACATTGAACAAAATGGAATGCAAGGTCAATTCAAAAATCCCATCATGCCTGTACCTCTTCCATCTGGATTCCCTTGGGGGCCACCTGCAAAATGAAAAGTAGGACACAGAAAATGAGAAAAATGGGCCAACTGATATCATATGAACCAGTATTACAAGGATAGCAAATTAGCAATTGGAACTCAATAGACGATGCGGATGGTTCATCATGTTCAGAAGACAAAACTTTGTTCATCATGTTCAGAAGACAAAACTTGGAAAGTTTTATCTGATTAGTATGGGCTGGCGTCCGGACTCCTAATGCGTCCTGTTCTCTCGCAAAAACAAAAAAGTTCACCTTTTTGTGCCCTATTTACTATATAATTGCTATAAACCAGATTAAGACAAGAGATAGGCTCGTCGATACGACGAGTTATAATGTGGCCTTGTTCAGATGACATCAAAGTTCTAAGTTTTTTCACACTCTCTTCGTCACATCAATTTTTGGACGCATGTATGAAATACTAAATGTAGGTAAAAAAAGTAACTAATTGCACAGTTTGGTTGTAAATCACGAGACGAATCTTTTGAGCCTATTTAATCCATGATCGGACAAAGTTTATCAAATACAAACGAAATGTGCTACAGTGTCCAGATTGCAAAAATTTGCAATCTAAACATGGCCTGTATAGAATCCATCCGAGTCGGATTGCATAAGGGTACTGCAAATTTCACACTGAAGAATAGGGCTGCTCATTTCTAGAACTCAATTTGTTGGGCATGCAGCGGATCCTACCAGTTGAGAAAATTCAGCTCGCACCTAAATGAGGCGGCAAGCGCCACAGTACTGGAAGCGTTCGACCATTTTCCAATAAGTAATTTTGACAGCTGAAGTGCTGAACCTCCGGTACAGCGCACGAGAGCAAATCAAGCTAGAAGCGACCGGCACATCGAACCTTGAAGAGGCAGTGGTCGAGGGTGGGGAGCACGGGCGCGAAGGCGGCCCGCACCCGACGCCGCGCGGGAGCCCTGTCCAGGCACTTCGCCGCGGCGGCCCTCAGGTCGTCGCTCGCGCCCTCCAGCGTCCGCTCCCGATGTGCGCCCTTCGCGGCAGCTCCCGCGACCACGGCGGCGCGCCCCCGCGGGCGAGGCGGCGCCACAACGGCGACGCGGGGGCCCGACCCTGCGATCCGGTGCGAGATCGCCGCCATGTGAGGAGGCATGCGTGCGGTGTGCCTGCTCGGCCGGCTTGTCGATCTTCGTCTCGCTCCTGCCGCGATGGTCGTCTCCCGCGGCCGCTACGATCGCGCGCGCACACCGCACGCATGTTTCTACCCTACTAAGGTCCTGTTTGTTTCCGCTTATAAGCGGCGTAGCGGTGGAAATAAGCGAGAATCCCGTTAAACGTTTTGTTTATTTTCACCGATTCTCGTTTATATGGTACGCCGCTTCAGATATTTGAACTACAAAAAATGAAAAGCGAGAAACGAGAAAACCTTTGCTTAGATTATAATCCAAGCGTGTCTAAGAGAAGCGGAAACAAACAGGGCCTAATGCAAATCTGGTGTCGCTGTTGTGGCGCTGACTACTCCATCTGCGTGCGTGTACGGGAAGTTCTGTGATTTTTTTTTCGGCGTGGCGTTCGTAATACTCGGTGGGGCTGCATGACGTGGGTATGGGGGAGAACGAGGAGATTTGATACACTCAATTCAGGCCCTCGATTGTGTAATAAGTAAGGAGAGAAGGCTTAAAGTGTATCTGGACGGTTTGTTTGAAATGTGTTGTTTTTATAGGTACATTTTTTGGGGTGGACTTAAAGGGGACATCTCAGTGGGGAGTCGTTTTCTTGTGTGGACGTAGGAAAGAAAAGATGGTGCATTAGTATGATAGAATACCACCCTAACTGGCCATTTGACTATTTGAGAGTGTGTAGAGCTCAAGGAATTGTAGTGTGAGTTGATGCTCATTTCTAGTTGTTCTAGCCACCAAAGTGCTTAAGGATTCACTATCTGGAGCATATGTGCTTTTGCGAAGTGCTTAGGTTAGTTAGCCCACTGCTTATGCGTTTACTCTAGATTTAGGCCTAGTGTTTAGTGAGGTTTGCACACCTCTCACTACTCGTTGCTTGTGCGCACTATTGTTGTATGTCAGAGGAGGCTTGTAGTCTTATGAGCCCATACGAACCACATTTATGGTGCATCCGCCACCATGTATCGGAGGAAAAGAGACCCGCGGTGGTCTGGCCGGAAACTTGTTGGTGAAGACAATAGATAGCAGCTCGGGAGGGGCCATCTTGGAGACTCATTTGCTCATGGGGAAGACTCTAGGTTATCCACGGAGTTACTCGACCAGGAGTTTGGCCCTTGCGAGAGCCACCAACGAGGATTAGGGGAAAGCATATGCTTCTCGATACTTTGGTAAAAATATCGGAGTCATTAACAGGAGTTTGCATTTCTATCTTATTTAAGCTTCCAAATTTATATTTGTGTATTTCGATTGTGTGCTTTACATTCCTAGTTTAGCTTGTTAAGCCAGTGATAGGTTTAGAACCTAGCTTGCATAACTCTTTAGTGGTAGATATATTGACACACCTGACAAAAACCTAGTTGCATATCTAGATCACCTGCATTTTCACTCTCTCTACTGTTGTGCATTTACTTTTGTTGTTCAAGTCATATAGTGGTGATATTAGGACTTGTCATCCTAAGAAGAAATCTGAGCTAAAACTTTCAATTATAGTGACATATAGCTTAGTGCTTATCTCGAGACTAGAATTGCATAGGTTGTTGATCATCCTAGGATTGCAAGACACTAGTTAGAGGTAGTTTAATGAATGAGTGTGCGGCCGCCACTTTTTATTTTCCTCCTGGGATGAACAGCGCATCAGAATCCAGAGCGATGGGAAACAACAGGGCATTTACCACTTGGGCCCACCCACCGCCACCTTTTCTTTTACTGGGCTGAACAGCGCATCTAGATGGGCCACACGCGCACACCAGGCCGGTGGGCCGAGCGACCAGCCACAGTATAATGGCCTGAAAAAAAGTCCCTCACCGGCTCACGCTGTCATGCAGCGTACCAACACGTAGTCGTCGGATCGACGGAGCGTAGACTCGTAGGTACCGGTCCCTCTCCACTTCTCTCGTGCACCCAGCAGCCTCCCCAGATCAAACACCACCCCGCACGGTTATAAGAAAAAAAAAAATCCAAAAAAAAAAATCAAACCCCCACCCTCTTCACCACCATCCTCCCCGAGTCGTCCTCTCCCCTTCCTTCCCCGATTCGCCCCGTCTTCCCAAGCCCTACCTTCGTTCCTCCGCTAGCGACAAAACCCTAACCCTAACCGGCGGGGATGGCGACGCCGCCGCCCTCCTCCGCCGCTGCCGCGGTTGACCTATATGAGACGGCCTCGCAGCCGGACGCCTCCGCCGCCGGCGACGCCTACACTTTTCTCGAGTTCAACACGCAGGGGGACGACTTCGATTACCCCGACTTCCCAGAGCTCTCCCAACCGCCGCCTCGATCCACGCCGCTAACGTCCTCCGTCCCAGGCGCCGGCGCGTCGTCCTCGTCGTGGCCTGCCCCACCGCCGCCGTCGTCCGACGCGGCCTCCCCGGAACCCGATCTCACGCCTCAGGACGTCCCCATCCCGCCGGCCTCCTCCTCCTCGCCGTCGCCGCGGTCCGCCTCCAAGGCGCGCTCGTCGGCTGCGGCGGATGGGCTCGCCTCCGGGGTTGCCGCACTCAGCTTCGAGGAGCCTGTAGGAGCCGGCGCCGGGGAGGACGGGTACGACTACGGCAAGGGAGACTTCGTGGAACACGCCTGCCGGTACTGCGGGATCCACAATCCTGCGTGCGTGGCGAGGTGCAACGTGCCCTCCTGCCGCAAGTGGTTCTGTAACTCGCGGGGGAACACCTCTGGCTCCCACATTGTCAACCACCTGGTTTGTCACATAGACATAGCTTTGTTAGAATTTAAGATTAAGACTACTGAGCTTTTAATTTGTTGATAATTACTTAGAAATTGAACGAGTGAGAGCTCTGTCTTACAAAACCGAACTGAGTGAGAGCTCTGTCTCACAAAATTCTACCGCTTTGCATCAATTTTAGGCTTTTTTGGTCGTTAAAAGAAGACATCATGCTTTATTAGTTTATTGGGCTGTACTTTATGGCTCTATTAGTAAACTAATGTTCAGACGTTGTGGTAGCATGTTTTTTGTATTATATATGTGGGAGTGGCTAAGGAGGTGATCAGTTATTAGTTAGATTTTGTATTTTTTATGGTATGTGATAGTGGCGGTGTATCTACTTGCTGTAATTTGTTATAATCCTGGTGGCCGCGCTGCATTGATGTGCCTTTATACTTGAACGTTTTCTGGTGGAAATAATTATATAGATAAAATAACTTTGAGGCGAATGTCATGTTAATTATCTCTTGAATTAGGTTTAGAATAAGCAAGTGTGGAGTATACTTGTTGTATCTCTTGGAGATGTTGGGAATGCGACGATTGCTAGATGTGTGTGTTTGGTTTTGCTGTGTAGTATTGAATTTTGATTTTTTGTGCTATTGGAGTGGTTGCTACATTTTTGTGAATGTGATTCCTATTTTGGTAGCTCGGATCTTAATTGTCCAGACCCATTTGCAAAGGTTCCTTGGCAATATTGTTAAACAGTTCGTTAGGAAGCTAACTGTATTTGAAGTTAAGACCATCTCGTTCCTATTTGGTAGCTAGGGTCTTAATTGTTAAGTCTCATTTGCAAGATGTCGCTGATACCATCGTCTAAATAGTTTGCTAGCAGTTTAATTATATTTTCAGTGAAGACCATCTCAAACTGTATAAGAGTAGGAGTGTAGGACATAATGGTTTGACGGCAACAGGGCTATACTTAAAAAAAAAAAATTGTCCCTTACCATTGAAAGCCTATTTTGGTGACACCTATGTTTGTTCAACTTATTATATTGCAACCCTGATTCCTTATTGAGAAGCTCTGTGGTGTTCCATAAGCAACTTTGCTATCCTTAAGGCCACCCACAGCATGCAAGTACACCATTGTTCTGGCATTGATGCCCACCACTTTGTGCTATGGTGCTTGTCCAAGCAAACCAAGTATTGGTACAAGTACATGCATAAAATGCTTAATACAAAAGCTGAGGCATGGGTCCATTTGCAAGTGAAATGATTCCAATGAAGGATGGAGAGAATGGGGTGGGAGAAAAGTGATGATATTCTATTCAGTTTATCTAGTTCTAGAAAGATTATATGATTCTACTCCCTGAAACGAACATGTATATGTGAATCAAGCTCCAGTGGTTTGGCAATGAGGCGGAATTTCTAGCTTGATCTACGATGTCAATGCTCTAACAGTGAACCATTGGCCTACTCTATTATAAGCATATACTTGCTACCTGTAGTCAACCATAAGCTTTGTATACAAATGAATTCCTTGAGTGTAGGCTAGATCACTCTTTCTTAAGCATATGCTTGCTGCGCAATAATCCACCTACCTTTTACCTATTTAAATGAAATTAATGCTGTGTGCAGGGTCATAACCATACATGTATCATTTGCAGGTTAGGGCAAAGCATAAGGAAGTGTGCCTTCACAAGGATAGCCCTTTGGGAGAAACAATTCTCGAATGCTACAACTGTGGTTGCCGGAATGTATTTCTTCTTGGGTTTATCTCAGCAAAGTCGGAGAATGTTGTCGTTCTATTATGCAGAGAGCCATGTTTAAGTGTTAATGCACTGAAGGATATGAATTGGGATCTTAGCCAGTGGTGCCCACTTATCGATGACAGATGTTTCTTGTCGTGGCTCGTAAAGGCAAGTGTTTCTTCATGATGATTTCTTAGGTCTGTCTGTCATGCATTTGTGCATGGCTAGTAACTTTCTGATGGTTGAACAATTTACTTTCTTCCAGGTACCTTCAGAGCAGGAGCAGCTAAGAGCTCGCCAAATTAGTGCTCAGCAAATTAACAAAGTGGAAGAGCTGTGGAAGACAAATCCTGATGCATCTCTTGAAGATCTTGAAAAGCCCGGTGTAGATGATGAACCTCAGTCAGTTGTTTTGAAGTATGAAGATGCTTACCAGGTTAAAACTTTCTAAAGTTCTGTATTCTATTACTTGAGCTTACTTTTTGTTGGTGCTTTACTTCTACTCTCAATCTGTCGAAGCACATATTTTTACCTAGCATTCTAACGCATATCCTGC